TTTGATTCGTGCTGCTCTATAGAAGAGCTGCATTGTTTTTAAGGCAAGGTAGAAACAGCCGTTGCTTCAGAAAAAGCAAAAAACTTTCCTTTCTTACGAATTTTTCAAAACAAAAGTTCACTGTGATTTTTATAAAATTAAACTTTTGATGAAAAAAAAAAAAATTTTAAAAATCTTTCAAAGAATGTTCGTTAAGCTTTAAACCTTCAAACATATGCTGAGCGAAGCTCAGCTGACGCGCTAGCTTCATACCTTCAAACTTATGGATAACTTGGGTTTCTACCCGATACACTAGTTCTTAGCAATTTTTGCTTTATTTTTGCTCCTTAGAATCCAAAATGCCATCGGTTTCACATTAAGAAACAGTCAATTAACCTCTATGCCAAATTACAACTTATAATCTCAAAAAAGTTCAAATTTATAGCTAAAATAAATTATACATAGGTTTCCAACCCTTAGAATCCAAAATGACGTCGGTTATATATTCAGGTTATATACCACTTAACCTACATGCCAAATTTCAGATTAAAAGTTTAAAAGATACAAAAGTTATGGCAAAAAAATAATTTGGTATGAAAAATGTATGGAAAAAAGTGAATAACTCCGTGAAAAGCTCGGAAAACGCGTGGAAAAATATGAAAATGGAAAAATTTATCATAAAACATCATGATCTATCAAAAAAGTGTAAAAAGAATGAAAAAAAAAAGTTACTCACGGTGAGGCCTGAACCCGTGACCAATGAGTTGTGAGAAAATTCACCTTTTTAAGGGCTACGTAAAAATACGTATGTAAAACGTAAGGTAAAATTTCAGAAAAAGTTAATTTAATTAACCTTCCTTTCAGACGGACGGACAAAACGCAAGCAATAGCGTCATTTAAATTTTAAAATTTAAAATCAAAGTTAAATGTGTTATTTGCCAAAAATTTTACTTAAGATAACACAACTCAGTGGAGTAGAGGTAGCAACGCAGAATTTATCTAAGAACACAGCGGTCAGAAGTTCGAATCCCGGTAAGATTTATAAAATTTTCATTAATCATTTCTTCTTTCTTTCTTTCTTTCATAGCTTTGAAAATTAAACAGCATAATAAAAAAAAGTACACATTAATTATGTAAAATAATAGTAAAAAAAAGTTTCAAAAAATAATAATTTTTATTTATTACGTCCTTTAAAGTACACTCAAAGTATACTCTTTTGAGTACATCAATAGTCAGATTAATATGTACTTTTATGAGTATATTAAAAGTATATCAAACTAAGTATGCTCATTTGAGCATATGTTTTATGTGCTTAATTGAGCATAAAGTGTGTCACATGTGACATGACACATAAAAAAATGTTGTATTTCAAGAGTGTGCTCAAAGTATAACTGAGTGAGTATGCTCTGGTGAGTACACTTTTAGGCGTAAAGTAGTGGCACAAACTTTTGTATGAAAGAGCATACTTTTTAGAGTACACTCAGCAAAAATTAGAGTGTGCTCTTTCTGTGCTCTTTGCCAATTAGGGAAAATGAACTGTATTTAGCATTAAGAGTTGCGGAACTGACCACATCCTGTGCAAAAAAGTCCAAAAACTGTGTTTGCTAAATTTTTAGTTTTGATTCTATTTTTGAATATTTTGAAAAAATGTGTGGAACCGAGCACTTCCACAGCTTCTCACAAGCTGATTAGTATATTTTGTAGCTTTAGAATATTAGGTAATCTGATTACTTATTGAAGATTTTTTCGGGTTATTGGGTTCTAAAGGGCTTCTAAAGCTACATAAAGTATCAATCAGCATGCAGGAAGCTGTAAAAGTGCTCGATTATGCACATTTTTTCAAAATATTCAAAAAAGGAATCAGAACCAAAAATTGACTCAATAAAGTTTTTTGAACTTTTGGGCACTGGATATCGTCAGTTCAGCAACTTTGAATGATAAATACAGTTCATTTTAAACCATCTCTTACGATGGCATTGCATTTGTTTTAAAATTCATACAAAAAAGAGCTCAACGACTAGTTTAAATTGCGTCCGCTTTATTTAAAAATGTATTTAAAATGAATATAATAAAAAACAAGTAAACTTTGGTTTTCAAAAATCGTAATAAAAGAAGGTTTTTTGCTTTTTTTGAAGCAACGGCTATTCCTTCCTTGCCCAAAAACAATACAGCACTTCTATAGAGCAGCACGGATCAAATGTAAAAAACTAGAAGTCTCTACGATGTCTCGTTATTGAGATTTCTTGCTGATTAACTTGCTTGCTTGCTTGTTTGCTTACAGAAAGCGTATTTTGCGATTTTCTCAGCAATGCCGCAACCAATTTGAAATCTGTTTTTTGCATAAGATGTATGATTTCAGGCACAAACTTTTCTTATGTATACATTTATAGCTGGGCAAGATCAAAAATGAATTGTTCGTGACGCTTAACAAAAATTTACAATTTTTGAATCAATAATGCGAAATATGTATTTAAGACTTGTGTTTTTCTTAAAGTCCTTGCCAAGACCTATATTTTGGTGTATAACAAGTATCTCTTAGACATTGTATTATAATTAAAAATTAATATAAAGTGCTAAGCGTCACGAACAATTTTGAGGAAATTCGATTTTACACCATGTTGCAAATTTAATATCTCTGCGAATACTTCATTAACCATAACGATTTTTTCACCAGATAATTAAGTAATCAGATCATTAAAAGTTTTGTCTAAAATATACAAAATGGCGGATTTGTAAGTTAGCTTAATTCAGCTTTAAAATGTTGAAGCTGAAATTTTGATATGAAGGAAATAGTTTAGGAACTATCTTTCTTTACAAAAAAGGTTACATATGTAATTTTCTTTAAGTTTGTGAGAGAAAATTTTCAATTCTACTGTAGTTAACCAAGTTATGATGAGTTTTACAAAACTAGTCATAAGTCATTGCTGTGTTATTCGTCTACTGATTTTTTCATTTCAAACTATAGAATTCAACAATGTTTATCATATTGCAAAAGAAATATTACTTTTTGTTCAAGACAAGCAGAGAAAATTAAATTATAGTAAAAAATTTGACCAAAAATCTTGTAACGGTTTTTAAAATTATAAATTTGTGAGCAAATAAGAGCAAAATTTGTTGCTCAATTTAAATTTCATTGTTTTTATAGTTAATTTAACTTACTTTTAAGCCTTTTTCGAATGTAAATTAAATAGTAAAAGACTCTTTAGATATCAAGTAATTGTTCTTGACCGATTAAGGTTAATAGTTTTGATTTAAAAATACATTTTACATTCAATTTGGTTGTCAGTTAATTTAACTAAAATAACTCATTTTTAATAAAATCTATTTTGATCATATGATAGAAAAAAGCAAGCTATACAACTTTTGTCAAGCTTCCAAACATTCATCTTGCTTTCTTTTCAAAGAAAAATCGATTTCAAATATTAATTTGTTAATTAAACTAACTCAATAAGTCGCCATTTTGAAAAATGAATGTTAAAAAGAAACTTACTATTATTAGCTATCATGTAGTGAAGGAATCATATTAATTAAGTTATTAAAAGCAGAGAAATCTGAATTTGAATATTTATTCCCTTTTTTTCTGATCTTGCCCAGCTAAAATGATTCGTTAACTCACAAAATCCAAAAAACTGATTTTTCAATGTGAACAAAAACAAAACATTCACACGTGAAAACGGTGTGAATATAAAAAATTACAAAAGTCCCCGTGTTATTGATCGAGGGACTTCAGCACGTTTTTGGCGCAGCGATCAGTATTTGATTGGCTAATTAACATGTATTCAGTAGGGCAATTCTACGAGTGAAAAAAATTACAAAATTTCTTTATTCTATTAAAAAAACTTTAAATATTGACTTTTTACACATTTAAATTAATTAAATGTATGTAATAAAATACTTTATAAAAAAAACTTTTTAAAAAACTACGTTTTTCGCGTAGACTAAAAAGTAGAAAATAACTTTTATTCTTGGTTGTAAAGAATTTGGTTTTAAATTTTCAGATTATATTTAATAAATTTTTATATCCTAGTCAATATTGTTCACAAAGTTTCGAATAAGTGCACTTTGATCTTATCGTATAACTCAACAACTTAAAAACGTGAGCGCATTAATTTAAGTTTATCATAAAGTATTGATTTCACATAAACTTATTTCTTCTCTAATAATGCGCCCACGTTTTTAAGTTGTTGAGTTATACGATAAGATCAAAGTGCACTTATTCGAAACTTTGTGAACAATATTGACTAGGATATAAAAATTTATTAAATATAATCTGAAAATTTAAAACCAAATTCTTTACAACCAAGAATAAAAGTTATTTTCTACTTTTTAGTCTACGCGAAAAACGTAGTTTTTTTAAAAAGTTTTTTTTATAAAGTATTTTATTTTCTACTTTTTAGTCTTATTCTAATGAAATAGAGAAATAAAGATTATAGGGGGTTTATAGGTTACAGGTGTGTTGAACTTCACTTCGTTACGTTCAACTGTTTATAGATTACAGTAGGTTTATAGGTTACAGGTGTGTTGAACTTCACTTCGTTGCACTTCGTTACGTTCAACTGTTTATAGATTACAGTAGGTTTATAGGTTACAGGTGTGTTGAACTTCACTTCGTTGCACTTCGTTACGTTCAACTGTTTATAGATTACAGTAGGTTCATAAGTTACAGGTGTGTTGAACTTCACTTCGTTGCACTTCGTTACGTTCAACTGTTTATAGATTACAGTAGGTTTATAGGTTACAGGTGTGTTGAACTTCACTTCGTTGCACTTCGTTACGTTCAACTGTTTATAGATTACAGTAGGTTTATAGGTTACAGGTGTGTTGAACTTCACTTCGTTGCACTTCGTTACGTTCAACTGTTTAAAGATTACAGTGGGTTTATAGGTTACAGGTGTGTTGAACTCCACTTCGTTGCACTTCGTTACGTTCAACTGTTTATAGATTACAGTAGGTTCATAGGTTACTGGTGTGTTGAACTTCACTTCGTTGCACTTCGTTACGTTCAACTGTTTATAGATTAGAGTAGGTTTATAGGTTACAGGTGTGTTGAACTTCACTTCGTTGCACTTCGTTACGTTCAACTGTTTATAGATCACAGGGGGTTTATAGGTTACTGGTGTGTTGAACTCCACTTCGTTGCACTTCGTTACGTTCAACTGTTTAAAGATTACAGTGGGTTTATAGGTTACAGGTGTGTTGAACTCCACTTCGTTGCACTTCGTTACGTTCAACTGTTTATAGATTACAGTAGGTTTATAGGTTACAGGTGTGTTGAACTTCACTTCGTTGCACTTCGTTACGTTCAACTGTTTATAGATTACAGTAGGTTCATAGGTTACAGGTGTGTTGTACTTCACTTCGTTGCACTTCGTTACGTTCAACTGTTTATAGATTACAGTAGGTTTATAGGTTACAGGTGTGTTGAACTTCACTTCGTTACGTTCAACTGTTTATAGATTACAGTAGGTTTATAGGTTACAGGTGTGTTGAACTTCACTTCGTTGCGTTCAACTGTTTATAAATTACCAGTTTTCAATGGGAAATTAGTAACGACTTTCAAAATTTTTCATTCGTTTTATAAAATTTAATTTTTTTAAAGCATTCATTAGTAAAGTACATTAAAAATCACTCGTAAAGATTTTGTGTTTATCTGTACCATTTCTACTTCATAACGTGTGGATTCTTAACATAAAGATGCAAATCACATATGTAACGTATTTATAACGGATTTTCAAATTTAAATTCAATGAATATCATTTATATGAGTGCCTATTAAAATAACGAATTTTAAAATTTCGAAACTTCATTTTTACGAACACTTCATTTTTACGACCATATCATTTTTACGAAAAATTATTTTTTCGACTTTTTTATAAATTTCAAATTCTAAAATATCGTTAATTTCATCACGTGTTCTCTTTAATAATAAATCGCAGAAAAAAAGATTAATAGAACAAATTTTTTTAAATGTATAGAATTAAAACGTATTTTTTTATTCAATATCACATTTTATGGACTACATGTGTATGTTTAAAGGAGTAACAAACACAATTAAGCTCTTAAATCATTTTTGACTCCTGCAATAGCCTTTAATGTTTCAACTCGTGGCACGGATTTTCGACGGTTCAGGATTGATTAAATGGAATGCTCTGTCTTTTCAAAACCTGGCATTCTATGCTTTTGTGGCTTTCCAGCCAAACATTTGTCAATATCCATTTCGATAGACACAAATTCTTTCCTTTAAACATACACATGGAAAAAAACAAATGTGATATTGAAAAAAAAAAATACGTTTTAATTCCATACATTTAAAAACATTTGTTCTATTAATCTTATTTTTGCAGATTTATTATTGAAAAGAACACGTGATGAAATTAACGACATTTCAGAATTTGAATTTTATAAAAAAAGTCGAAAAAATAATTTTTCGTAAAAATGATATGGTCGTAAAAATGAAGTGTTCGTAAAAATGAAGTTTCGAAATTTTAAAATTCGTTATTTTAATAGGCACTCCATTTATATGTTATGCAAAAATACGTCAAACCGTTAATAAAAAGAAAAGTCAATTTAATTAAGTTGGTGAAGTGTTATAAATAATGCAATACATTTAAAACAGCATAAATTTATGCTCAAACTATGTGTGCTAAATGCACATCGCATATTAATAGTTATTTTGCATTAATTCGTAACGGACTTGTGCTTAACGGTTTTTTTGAAAATTCAAATTTTCACTTACGAATATTCATGAAAAAATTACATGTCAATTTTTTTGTCTTACCAGAATATCTTTAGCTGCTCAAATTTATGGTATAATTAATAATTAGTAATATTAATTAAACTATAATGAATCATATAAATGACTTTAGAGCATCACAAGTATAATATTTAATACAAATCAAAATTTTATATCATTGACATTGGATTTTTTCCCATATAAAAAAGTTTAGCTTAAATTGTACTATAATTAAGCATTTTTGTGTTTCCAAAGTGTTAAAATATTGTATTGTCACCGGGAATACATGTGCATTAAAAATTTGAGCTTGATTGGAGCAGTAGAAGTGGTCGAAAAATTGATCGCAAGATTTGAAATTTTTTGCAAACAAACAAACAAACAAACAAACAAGAAAGCAAGTTAAGAAAAACGTAGTAAAAAGGGAATGTTTATCATTATGAATAGTACTTGTTTGCAATAAATGGCTGTATGAGGAGATATTTTAACTTTTTTACTGTCAATCGGTGGAATTTACAAAAATAATGTACTTTAATTTGTTAAATATTTCACTAAATACTCATTTCTGATTTATGTCTCTACCCACAAAATGTTTGAATTCACAAATTTAACAAACCTTTGACTTAAAACATAGCAAAAATGCTTTAATTAAGCTAAAATTTGTCAAAAACTGTGTCAATCGGTGGAAATTTTACATATTTTCGACTAAGCTTGAAGCGCTTACAAAAATTTAAATTTTAAATTACCGTTGAAATTTTATTTTGTAATATTCTTTACATATGGAAAAACTTATTTTAATTAGTTTTTCATGCCTCTTTTTGCCTTAAAGTTTACACTTTAAGAACGAATAACGTAACAATAACGGAGAAATACACTTTATAAAAAGAAACACAATATTTTTATCCAAGAAATATAACGGATAAAAAAAAATTAAATTTTTGCAAGTAGCGAAAACTTACAATGCAAATTTCTGCAGTTCCCTTTACTCGTAGAATTGCCCAGTAGTAAAATACAGCACATTTATTCACTAAAAAGAGTTTTGTCATTCAACGATTTTTTAAAATTCAAATTTTATAACGTCCATTGAATATTTGATAATTTTTCACCAAAAGTTGCTTTAAAAAAGTGGTAAAAATTAATAGCTATGGGGCCGTTCACTTATTACGTTCGCATTTTAGGGGGGAGGGAAGGTTTGAAAAATTGTAACAAAATGTAACATAGGGGGGGAGGGAGGGGTGAAAAAAGTCGTTTTTTTGCGTAACGTAATAAGTGAACATGGCCCCTATGATATAATTATCAATTTGATATACTCAATTATCGTACAAAAACTGTTTATCATTTAACGGTTTATTGAGATTCAAATTAAATTAGAATTTCTTAACGCTCTCATCACGTGTTTTTTTTTCACATGAAATATAATATGCAATTAGAGTTTATAATCTCTATATATAAATGTATATAGAGATTATAAACTACACGTGTAGTTTTTAACTTCTAATGAAAAAATCATTAGAAGTAAAAAATTGCGCGTGCAGTTTTTAACACCTATATACAATTGTATATAGAGATTAAAAACTCTAGATTCAGATAATTTTTTTTTATAAATTTGAAATGTTTAGAGGTAAAAAACTTTAGGTGTTTTGATTGTCAATATTTTATTAGTTGGCTAGTTTATAAGCCATATTATGAATTCATAATTTGCTTTTATTCTTTAATCATGAAATCTCTCTTTTTAAAATTAAGGCAAACATTTTATTTGTTTTTTTGAAGAGGTATAATCAAAATTTTGTTTTTGGCTTGTTTAAGTGACCACCATCGGCCTAATCTATGTTCTTGTCCCACGCCAGCTATGATATGGTTTCCATTATTTGTAAATTGCAACGAATTAATAAAGCCAAAAACTGGAATTTCAAATTTTAGTATAATTTCACGATAATTCTTATTAAGCTTCCAAATTCGAATAAAGCCATCGTATGAGCCGGAAGCTATAAGATCAGTGTTAACCAAAGTAGCGATCGATGTAATCCAATTCGCTGTTCCATTTATGGAGCCGTGCGCTAATTTGAATTCATTTATAGGTCGCTTTTTACTTGCATTCCAAACACAAAGTGATCCATCATCTCCACAAGAAAGAAAGTGTTCTTCGTTTATAAATCTTACTATATCAACACTGCCCTTATGACCTCCGTTAAAAACTAGCTGTGATTCCTCAACTATTTTCCATATTCTAACAGTTCCATCGCAGCCACCAGCCGATAAAACTCTTTCCTTATATAAAGCATCAATTGACATTACAGGATTTTGATGACCAAACAGTGTTTCAACGTAAACCATTTCATCAAGCGAAAAAACTTTAATTGTTCGATCTTCGGAACATGTAAACATTTGATGTGAATCTTTTCTGAATGATATACCAGTTACTGTTCCTCGATGTTGTCCATCAAAGACGTGAAGTTTTTTTAAACTGATGGGATCATAAATGAATATTTTATGACTTTTATCGCAGATAGCTAAAAATTTATTGTCTGAGGATATTGTAATATTCATTATGTGAGAGTCAAATGAAATATGTCCAGTTTGACGTTTTGTTTCAATGTTCCATCTTAGAACCTTCCCATTCTTGCATCCAGCAAATAGAATTTTTTCATCTGAATTTAGGCATATGGAGGTTACTGACTGGCTTTGTAGTTTGTGTTTTAATGTTATAATTTTATCACTATAGTACCCAATGATATCGTCAGCTACATTTTTCTTTAATTTTCCAATACTATCCAGAAATTCAAATTTCAATTTTTTGCTTACATCATGCTCATCGTCTGATTTCTTGATATCTTCTAAATATTGCTTCGCAAGTCTTAGCCTTTTTCCATCTGGAGTTTCTGTAATCCATTCGTTAAATTTTGAGAAATGAAATAATTTCTATAATTTTTAAAAGAAAAAATCTGACCAACCTGTGTTTTCATCATCAGAGTAATCTTTAAAAGACATATTAATTCCATTTAGCTCTTCTGTTTCACTATCAATCTCATCGTCTTTATCAGCAGTTTTGCGCTTGATACTTGTAAACTTTATTTTTATAATACAAAAATTTAATAAACATTTAATTTAATTGTATGTATACTGAATGACTCACCTTCTTGTTCCTTTTAGAAACATTGTTTTCTCTTACAAAAAATGACATGTTTCCTTTCATTTGATTTATTTAATGAACTTTTTTAATAAATTTTTAAAGCAACGTGAATTGGGGGAATTCAATTATCAAAAACCTTTTCTTGTAATTTTGAATCTTAAACAGTCGTTATGTCAATTCAGAGCTGAGCCTCGACCATTTTTTTTAAAAATTTTGCTCAACGGAAAAAAAATATTTGAATCTTTCACTAATACTATCTTACAAAACATCAGCAATTTTAATGTCCCCAAATCCTTAGTTATTCAATCATTATTCCCAAATATTTTGATTCTCTCACTATTTTAAGAGCTTTTTCATCATTATTGAGTGATATTTTCGTGATTTTTCAAATTTCATTCACGATTTTGTTTGTAAACAAACAAATTACAACCGAAAATATTCAAAAAATTTAAAATCATTAAAAAATTTGAATAGGGTAAATGACTTTGAAATTTGCGCAACCTTGAAATTTGCGCACTCGTATGAAAACGAAAATTTTAAAATTATATGTAAAAATGTCACTTCTGTTCAGACGATCAATGGGAAATGTTTGTAGAACACCAGCGCAGATGTTTTTGCATCATTTTTAGTGATATTAAACCATTAGGAAGCTCAATAATTTGCACCCGAAAAATCCCATACAAAAAAATATTTGTTAAAAATTTGATTTTGGGATGTATGTGATAGATTTAGTTGGAATTTGGTGCCAAAAAATGAAGATCTGACGTTGCTTCAAATTATTTTGATGGTGCAAATTCAAAAGGATGAGTAGAACTGCTTTAAAATTCCATTTTAAAAGTTCCCATTTTTGAACCTTGAATTTTGCGCAAAATTTTCTGAAAATTTTGAAATTTGCGCACTTTGTATCGTAGAAATCGACAGAAAATTTTGTCAACATTAATTAATATTTAAATCCAAAAATGAGGATTTTAGAAGGATTGTTGATGAAATGGATATGAGGACATAGGACAAAAATTATGCAAATGATTTCTAAATATTTATTTCAATAAAAACTAGTGTTCAAAATCTCACCAAATTTTTCACGAGCAAAAATTTTTGTGAGCAAATTTTTTTAAAAATCTCACGAGCAAATTTTTCGTGAGCGGCTCACGAAAATTTTGCTCGTGAGATTTTCAGCTCACGAGCCGAATTTTGCTCACGAAATTGCTCACGTGAGCCTACGTGAGCAAATTGTGACGTAATTTTTCAAAAAATTTCTATGAATAAATTTGTATGAAATTTCTTGTTATGGGATGGTTCTTCAGAATGGATGAAGCTTTTGCCAGTGACTTTTCATGACTTTGCTGGATAATTTTGAGTATGCAGGACCTTCTTGTTCCTGAATCTTGACTTGTTGCTTGGATTTTTCCTTAATTTTGCTTAGAATCATTTCCAAAATCATAGGAGCCAATGATGGAAATAGATGTCAAAACATTCTTACAATACTTTTGAGACATCTCATATGGAACTGGTCATGTCCAACTGGGTGGAACTGCCGAATTTTTTTTTTATTTTTCTATGCTTTATAGACACTTTTGGGCAGGGGTTGGAACCAAGCACTTCCGTTACTTCCAGGTCCAATTTTCAGTGCTTACTATGTCAAGGCAAAAATGATCAAATTTGAGCACTTCAAGGAAACATCCATGAAGGTCCTGTTTAAGTATGCAAAGTCATCAGTTAATAAAGAATGGAGACAAAAATATGTTTAATGCTTAAAATATTTTTTGTTTATTTGATATGTTATAAATAAATCCTGACATTTAGAAGTGCTTTAAAATTGACATTTGTTTGATATTTGATATGTGAGTTTTGAACTGTTCTTGTCAGGGCTTGAAATAAATTTTCAAGACATGTTTTTCTTGATGTCTCTTCTTGACATGAAATTGAACGAGCTAGCCACATATACACCAACCACAAAATAAAACATTCTTTCTTGTAGAAATTCTTGATCAAAAAGTTCTTAAAAATTTAAATCCATGGCTCCATTTTTTGCTTGAATTTAGAGTTGATGCACCAAACAAATGTAAAGAAAAATGTTTGTTTACACATTTTTCTTTAAAATATGTCAAAGATTGCTACTGAAAAAGTGCGCAAATTTTAAGATTTTTTTGCGCAAATTTCAAAGTTTTCTGCGCAAATTTCAAAGTTCAACTTTAAAAGTCAAATTTCTCTGCATTGACGCAGCAGAGCTTCCTTTACACATATAAAGAAGAAAATATCTTTGATTCCCTGCATTTCAAGACCATTAGTTGGACTCAATTACAATCCTCCGAAGAGATTGAAGCAAATGAAAATTTCATGTGTGAAAATGCGCAAATTTCAAGGTCATTTACCCTAATTTTGTTTATTTAAGTCCAGGAAAATTTATTAAGTTTATTTATTATAACGAAAAATTTAAAAGCTTATCTCATGGAAAAGATCAAATTCCGATGTATCCATAGCGTCATTTAAGTCCATTTCCAATTGTCTTGTCATTTTCATCACTCTTTGTCACAACTTACTGTTAAATTAATTACACAAACGCACTTTATTTATTTATTTATTTCTTACACTTTTATTTCTGAGATGATCAAATTTTCATATTTACGAAATGTTTTGTTTTTGTCAGTTAAAAACATATTTTTCAAATTAAGAATGACCATTAATATCTGTATGTTTAATTTTTAAGTTTCTTTAAGGTGCATGTTACATTGAAACTTTTTTTATATTTTATTAAATTGTATGTTGAACTGATAGCTATTTAACTAGCTGAATTACACCTGCTAAATCTGGTCTCAATGAATGACATCTCTTGATTCCTTTAATTTATTTTATGGGCAATTCTACGAAAAGGTTTCATGAAAATAATCCGTGTCAATTGCATGAAATTTTTTAATTATTTTATTTTCACTTGTGCATAGTTTTTCAAAAATCTAATTCTCATTTTCTTTTCTATTGGTTAAACTGTGAATTATGATTACATCTGCACTCAAATTACTTAGCTATGGCTTGAGAAATTCATGGTTTTAATTTTAAAATTTGGTAGTTTTTTTTGAAATTGTCTTCAAATTACTCTGTTTCACTTATGAAATTTTTCGTACAATCCAAATTGCAGCTTAATTAAGGCGTCCACAAATATGATTTTGACATCGTTTTGAAGCTTTTACTTTAAGCTACAACTTTGTATACTTAGTATTACTGGAAATTTTACCACCTTAAAGATATTAATGAAAACATTTTGGAAATTTGGGCGAAAAAATTCATGTGAAACAGAGTAATTTTTCGTAGAATGTAAATAATTCTTTAATTAACCATTTTTAATATGTTTGGGCGAGAAAATTATGTAGATATCGGTAAAATCTACTATTAAATACATGAAACATGGGGAGTAATGCAATTGATAAAGAGAAATATAGATTTGGAGACAAATTTGTAGAAAAAATCATTCGTAGAATCGCCCTTATTTAATTATTCTAACAGATCAAATGACAACAAAACAAATTATTTTTCACCACATAAAATCAAACTCACCACAAATTTCGAATTTACAAATTCCGTTAAAATTATTTTATAATGTGAAATTTACTGCCAAATACACGAACTTTCTAAATTATTCTACTTAAATTTAACATTACAAATGCGCATCGCATCTAACAGTCAACTGATAATATGAATTTACAATTTTTAAGTCACTGATTTCAAACTTAATTAAATTTACTGATCACATCTTAATTCTTCCACAAAACTTTTCAAATTTAAAAAAATCGTTAATTATAAAGTAATTTTTTTGTGAGCTCTTTAAAGTTTTAAACGCTGTAACTCACAATTTCTGTCCTCGATATGAGGAATTAAATGTTCTAGCAATTGTAATGTATCACAGCTATGACACGGCTCTAGCTTCTAATAGTAAATGAATAAAACAATAATAATAATAACAATAATAATAATAATAATAATAATAATAATAATAATAATAATAATAATATTAATAATGTTAATGCAGAGGTTTTTATGCCGCTTTAAATAGTTTAAGTACTGTTTAAGGAGGCTTTTCCTCTGTGTGAAAGCTAAACAAAACATAATAAAATTTCTGGTTTAAAAAAATATATTTGAATCAATGATAGCTGACAAAGTTATAGCAAAATTCCCAAAAATTATTCGTGAGTAACGCATAATTAGTGATTTTTCGACATAACTCTTTAACTTAGGAAGTGAGATGTATGTCAAAATATAGAGATTTTTGTTTTCTACAAGATAAAATAACTTTGAAATTTGTCACCATTGTGTTCGGAGATATTCAAGTGTACGATTTTTTAGCGCATTTTACTAGTTTTTACCAGAGGGGGACAAAGCAAAAATTGTTGAGAAAAAAAAACGAAAAAATGCTTACTGTGATGAAATCCAGGTGTGGTGACTCCAAAAATCGTGCAGGAAAGAACTGAATGAAGTTATTAAAATGTAGTGTAAAACTTTGTTAATCAGCAAAAAGGAGCAAAAAATAGTAAAGATTATTAGAAAAAAGAAGAAAGTAGTAAAATGCAGCAAAAAGCAGTAAATATTAGCAAAGAGCAGTAAAAGAGTAGCAAGAGTAGTAAAAAAGCAGTAAAAAACAGGAAAAAGCAGTGCAAAAGCAGCAAAAGAGTAGCTGGAGCAGTTTAAAAGTAGCAAAAATTTAAATTATCACCAAGACTTTAAAATTTTAAAATGATAAGTTTCTTTTTCATTATTTAACAATTTGAAGAAGTTTTTCAATACTTCTTTATTTATTTTGCAGAACGACAATTTTGGTCGTTATTGCACCTTAAAAAAATAACATTTCGAAGGTTTTTCCAAGGGGCTTCAGCGTTGAAAATAAAAATATGAAAATGGTAGTCTGAATCGAAATTGCCTGGCACCACAAAATCCAGAAAAACAAAATGTTTTTAAGAAACATCAAAAAGTCTGCCATGGTATAAAAAAAATTATAAAATTTTTAATATTTTGAAATTGTTAATTTTGTGCGATATTTTTTTTCACCCATTTCATCGTTAACATACATTTTACATTGAATTAAAAAGCTGATTGATTAGATTTCTGTCAAAGCAGTTAAGTGCCTTGCTGGTCGAATGGGTAAGGCGCTTGGCTCAAATTTGGGATGGTAACTCGAAGATCGTCGGTTCGAATCCAGCCATTTCCAAATTTGTTCTTTTTCGGAAGTTTAGATTAGCTTAATGTACGAGATCAAGCCATAATTGGGCATTTGGGCAACGTTGGATTAAGGAACGAGTCAGGAACTTGAAGTGTAGCGGGAGAAATAGGAACGAGAGCTACAAGATTACCCACGAATGGAATATTGTTAGAACGGACCTGAAAAGTATCACGTCACGCCCACAAAAGATCGAAACGAGAGCCTTAGTTTATTTGAAACCTAGATATGAAGATTAGAAGTTTGATCCTACATAATACTAATTCATATGTATACAAATACAAAAGTGTAAAATGTGAATTATTTCCTGACAGTATGTCGTCAATAAATGCAATAAAGTGCAATTAAAATGAAAAAAAAACGTTAAAAAAAACTTTTTAAAAAACACGCTTTTATCAAAAAGACTAAAAACCAAAAAGTTGAAAATAAAATAAGATCACACTTTTAGCGAATCAGGATTTTAAAATTTTCTTGTGATAACTAGAAATGTAACATAAATTTTTTCAAAATATTGTGATTAAGTCCAAGAACACAATGACTCTAAAAGCGTGGGGCTTTGAGACTTGACGTTCTCTTACTTAAGAATATAGCTGAACTAAGAAATTATCCTTAAATTACGCCCCACGCTTTTAGAGTCATTGTGTTCTTGGACTTAATCACAATATTTTGAAAAAATTTATGTTACATTTCTAGTTATCACAAGAAAATTTTAAAATCCTGATTCGCTAAAAGTGTGATCTTATTTTATTTTCAACTTTTTGGTTTTTAGTCTTTTTGATAAAAGCGTGTTTTTTAAAAAGTTTTTTTTAACGTTTTTTTATTTGCTACCTTTTAGTCTCAATCTTTTAATCGAATTTCGACCACAACAATTCAAATTCAACTCCACTTCGTTTTACTCCGTTTCGTTCAACTGTTTATAGATTACAGTAGGTTTAAAGGTTACAGGTGTGTTGAACTTCACTTCGTTGCACTTCGTTACGTTCAACTGTTTATAGATTACAGTAGGTTTATAGGTTACAGGTGTGTTGAACTTCACTTCGTTGCACTTCGTTACGTTCAACTGTTTATAGATTACAGTAGGTTTATAGGTTACAGGTGTGTTGAACTTCACTTCGTTGCACTTCGTTACGTTCAACTGTTTATAGATTACAGTAGGTTTATAGGTTACAGGTGTGTTGAACTTCACTTCGTTACGTTCAACTGTTTAAAGATTACAGTGGGTTTATAGGTTACAGGTGTGTTGAACTTCACTTCGTTGCACTTCGTTACGTTCAACTGTTTATAGATTACAGTAGGTTCATAGGTTACTGGTGTGTTGAACTCCACTTCGTTGCACTTCGTTACGTTCAACTGTTTATAGATTACAGTAGGTTCATAGGTTACAGGTGTGTTGAACTTCACTTCGTTGCACTTCGTTACGTTCAACTGTTTATAGATTACAGTAGGTTCATAGGTTACTGGTGTGTTGAACTCCACTTCGTTGCACTTCGTTACGTTCAACTGTTTATAGATTACAGTAGGTTTATACAGTAGCGTCCAAAAGTTTAGAAACAGTCTCAATTTTGTTGAATTTTATCAAATAAACATACTTAAACATAAGCAAATAAGCTCAAATTTTCACCAGCTGTGTAGTTTTTGCTATATTTTAATTTAATAAGAACTTTTTGTACTATAATTAAGTATTTTAAAAATAACCGTTAAAATTCAAAATGGTTGTCGTCCAAAAGTTTAGAAACGATTTTATAATAATTTTTTTTGAAGCTTTATACTTAATTTATTTATAATTTATGGCTCAAAACATAAAATTTGGACTTTATTCTTTGTTTTAACACAAAAAAGTATGTTCAAATCGGTTCCTTTCATGCTTTATTTTTGATTTCAAAATGGCTGACATTTTTATATGATATTAACAAAAATTAATACTTTAATCAAACTTTTTTCTTAAGTTTAAATGCTTATTGCATAGTTTTTTACAATATCTTTCAGAAAATATATAGTTTATTATGTTTTGTTAAGTTTAGAAGTCAAAATTTAAAAAAAAATACTTTTTTGGAGAGAAAAATTCGCTGCTTAGAAAAGTTCGAGATAATTTAATTCATTAAATACCAACAAACTATTCCATATTTTGGTACCAATTTATTGCATTTCAATTCTCCTTTACGTTTTTGTATGATTTCCTTAACATACTTCAAGGATCAAAGTTTTATTTAACTATTCTTTATCCTACAACAGACAACCTTGAACGACACAAAATGTTTTTGCAAAAAATTTCTTATTTCTATAATTAATTGGACATGTTTTGTTTAATTCATCAATAGAATGTTGTTTTAATGCATTTTAGTCATTTTGCAATAAAATTCATAGTAAATTTCAACATTTTTTTTGCAAAAACATTTTGTGTCGTTCAAGGTTGTCTGTTGTAGGATAAAGAATAGTTAAATAAAACTTTGATCCTTGAAGTATGTTAAGGAAATCATACAAAAACGTAAAGGAGAATTGAAATGCAATAAATTGGTACCAAAATATGGAATAGTTTGTTGGTATTTAATGAATTAAATTATCTCGAACTTTTCTAAGCAGCGAATTTTTCTCTCCAAAAAAGTATTTTTTTTTAAATTTTGACTTCTAAACTTAACAAAACATAATAAACTATATATTTTCTGAAAGATATTGTAAAAAACTATGCAATAAGCATTTAAACTTAAGAAAAAAGTTTGATTAAAGTATTAATTTTTGTTAATATCATATAAAAATGTCAGCCATTTTGAAATCAAAAATAAAGCATGAAAGGAACCGATTTGAACATACTTTTTTGTGTTAAAACAAAGAATAAAGTCCAAATTTTATGTTTTGAGCCATAAATTATAAATAAATTAAGTATAAAGCTTCAAAAAAAATTATTATAAAATCGTTTCTAAACTTTTGGACGACAACCATTTTGAATTTTAACGGTTATTTTTGAAATACTTAATTATAGTACAAAAAGTTCTTATTAAATTAAAATATAGCAAAAACTACACAGCTGGTGAAAATTTGAGCTTATTTGCTTATGTTTAAGTATGTTTATTTGATAAAATTCAACAAAATTGAGACTGTTTCTAAACTTTTGGACGCTACTGTAGGTTACTGGTGTGTTGAACTCCACTTCGTTGCACTTCGTTACGTTCAACTGTTTATAGATTACAGTAGGTTTATAGGTTACAGGTGTGTTGAACTTCACTTCGTTGCACTTCGTTACGTTCAACTGTTTATAGATTACAGTAGGTTTAAAGGTTGCAGGTGTGTTGAACTTCACTTCGTTGCACTTCGTTACGTTCAACTGTTTATAGATTACAGTAGGTTTATAGGTTACTGGTGTGTTGAACTCCACTTCGTTGCACTTCGTTACGTTCAACTGTTTATAGATTACAGTAGGTTTATAGGTTACAGGTGTGTTGAACTTCACTTCGTTGCACTTCGTTACGTTCAACTGTTTATAGATTACAGTAGGTTTATAGGTTACAGGTGTGTTGAACTCCACTTCGTTTCACTCCGTTACGTTCAACTGTTTATAAATTACCAGTTTTCAATGGGAAATTAGTAACGACTTTCAAAATTTTTCATTCGTTTTATAAAATTTAATTTTTTTAAAGCATTCATTAGTAAAGTACATTAAAAATCACTCGTAAAGATTTTGTGTTTATCCGAACCATTCCTACTACATAACGTGTGGATTCTTAACATAAAGATGCAAATCAAATCTATATGTAACGTATTTATAACGGATTTTCAAATTTAAATTCAATGAATATCATTCATATGTTATGCAAAAATACGTCAAGCCGTTAATAAAAAGAAAAGTCAATTTAATTAAGTTGGTGAAGTGTTATAAATAATGCAATACATTTAAAACAGCATAAATTATGCTCAAACTATGTGTGGTAAATGCACATCGCATATTAATAGTTACTGGGGGTCCTCGATTTGAGTAGTTGTTTTGTTCCAAAAAATTTCTACTCAAATCGAATCTATTCAAATCGAGGCAAAGAATCCATACAAAATTACATGTTTTGTTCCAGAGTCCAAAAAATGAATCAAAACAATGAAAATTTTGATCATTTTTTGCACATTTTACCTCGTTTCTTAACTTTTCCTTTGTGTTTTAGATAACTTAATTTATTTCAACGCATATTCATATTGTTTTTAAACGGAAATTCACAAAAAAAATGTTTTTGAAACAAAACAAAAATATGAGAACCTTGCAAATGTTATTTCACTGAACAATTTGTAAGGTTTTTGAATTTGAACTTTTTAAACCCGTTAATTTTATATCGATTTTTTAAATTTTTACTTTAATTTTGTAACTTTAGTATTGATTTTTCTATCAATAAGATAAATTCACGCTTATCGCAGTAAAATTTATGTTTTAAAATTATTTTCTGAAATGTTTTTATCAAAAATATTTGTTTTGTAAACAATTCAAATCGAAGAAAACAGGAAGAAATCTACTCAAATCGAATATTTTGGTGGGTAATAAATTTTCTGTTCAAATCGAATCTACTCAAATAGAATCTACTCAAATCGAGGACCCCCAGTATTTTGCATTAATTCGTGACGGACTAAAGCTTAACGGTTTTTTTGAAAATTCAAATTTTCACTTACATTCATGAAAAAATTACATGTCAATTTTTTTGTCTTACCAGAATATCTTTAGCTGCTCAAATTTATGGTATAATTAATAATTAGTAATATTAATTAAACTATAATGAATCATATAAATGACTTTAGAGCATCACAAGTATAATATTTAATACAAATCAAAATTTTATATCATTGACATTGAATTTTTTCCCATATAAAAAAGTTTTACATAAATTGTACTATAATTAAGCATTTTTGTGTTTCCAAAGTCTTAAAATATTGTATTGTCACCGGGAACACGTGTGCATAAAAAATTTGAGCTTGATTGAAGAAGTAGAAGTGGTCGAAAAATCGATTGCAAGATTTGAACGTGACAAAGAAACCAACAGAGCAACTCAATAAAAAGCGTGTAATAAATTAGAATAAAACTAAAAAGTAGAAAATAAAATACTTTATAAAAAAAACTTTTTAAAAAAACTACGTTTTTCGCGTAGACTAAAAAGTAGAAAATAACTTTTATTCTTGGTTGTAAAGAATTTGGTTTTAAATTTTCAGATTATATTTAATAAATTTTTATATCCTAGTCAATATTGTTCACAAAGTTTCGAATAAGTGCATTTTGATCTTATCGTATAACTCAACAACTTAAAAACGTGGGCGCATTATAAGAGGAGAAATAAGTTTATGTGAAATCAATACTTTATGATAAACTTAAATTAATGCGCCCACGTTTTTAAGTTGTTGAGTTATACGATAAGATCAAAGTGCACTTATTCGAAACTTTGTGAACAATATTGACTAGGATATAAAAATTTATTAAATATAATCTGAAAATTTAAAACCAAATTCTTTACAACCAAGAATAAAAGTTATTTTCTACTTTTTAGTCTACGCGAAAAACGTAGTTTTTTTAAAAAGTTTTTTTTATAAAGTATTTTATTTTCTACTTTTTAGTTTTATTCTAATGAAATAGAGAAATAAAGATTATAGAGGGTTCATAGGTTACAGGTGTGTTGAACTCCACTTCGTTTCACTTCGTTACGTTCAACTGTTTATAGATTACAGTAGGTTTATAGGTTACAGGTGTGTTGAACTTCACTTCGTTGCACTTCGTTACGTTCAACTGTTTATAGATTACAGTAGGTTTATAGGTTACAGGTGTGTTGAACTCCACTTCGTTGCACTTCGTTTCGTTCAACTGTTTATAGATTACAGTAGGTTTATAGGTTACAGGTGTGTTGAACTCCACTTCGTTGCACTTCGTTTCGTTCAACTGTTTATAGATTACAGTAGGTTCATAGGTTACAGGTGTGTTGAACTCCACTTCGTTTCACTTCGTTACGTTCAACTGTTTATAGATTACAGTAGGTTCATAGGTTACAGGTGTGTTGAACTCCACTTCGTTTCACTTCGTTACGTTCAACTGTTTATAGATTACAGTAGGTTCATAGGTTACAGGTGTGTTGAACTCCACTTCGTTGCACTTCGTTACGTTCAACTGTTTATAGATTACAGTAGGTTTATAGGTTACAGGTGTGTTGAACTCCACTTCGTTGCACTTCGTTACGTTCAACTGTTTATAGATTACAGTAGGTTCATAGGTTACAGGTGTGTTGAACTCCACTTCGTTTCACTTCGTTACGTTCAACTGTTTATAGATTACAGTAGGTTCATAGGTTACAGGTGTGTTGAACTCCACTTCGTTTCACTTCGTTACGTTCAACTGTTTATAGATTACAGTAGGTTCATAGGTTACAGGTGTGTTTAACTCCACTTCGTTGCACTTCGTTTCGTTCAACTGTTTATAGATTACAGTAGGTTTATAGGTTACAGGTGTGTTGAACTCCACTTCGTTGCACTTCGTTACGTTCAACTGTTTATAGATTACAGTAGGTTCATAGGTTACAGGTGTGTTGAACTCCACTTCGTTGCACTTCGTTACGTTCAACTGTTTATAGATTACAGTAGGTTCATAGGTTACAGGTGTGTTGAACTCCACTTCGTTTCACTTCGTTACGTTCAACTGTTTATAGATTACAGTAGGTTCATAGGTTACAGGTGTGTTGAACTCCACTTCGTTGCACTTCGTTACGTTCAACTGTTTATAAATTACTCCACTTCGTTGCACTTCGTTACGTTCAACTGTTTATAAATTACCAGTTTTCAATGGGAAATTAGTAACGACTTTCAAAATTTTTCATTCATTTTATAAAATTTAATTTTTTTAAAGCATTCATTAGTAAAGTACATTAAAAATCACTCGTAAAGATTTTGTGTTTATCTGTACCATTTCTACTTCATAACGTGTGGATTCTTAACATAAAGATGCAAATCACATCTATATGTAACGTATTTATAACGGATTTTCAAATTTAAATTCAATGAATATCATTTATATGTTATGCAAAAATACGTCAAACCGTTAATAAAAAGAAAAGTCAATTTAATTAAGTTGGTGAAGTGTTATAAATAATGCAATACATTTAAAACAGCATAAATTTATGCTCAAACTTTGTGTGCTAAATGCACATCGCATATTAATAGTTATTTTGCATTAATTCGTAACGGACCTGTGCTTAACGGTTTTTTTGAAAATTCAAATATTCACTTACGAATATTCATGAAAAAATTACTTGTCAATTTTTTTGTCTTACCAGAATATCTTTAGCTGCTCAAATTTATGGTATAATTAATAATTAGTAATATTAATTAAACTATAATGAATCATATAAATGACTTTAGAGCATCAAAAGTATAATATTTAACACAAATCAAAATTTTATATCATTGACATTGGATTTTTTCCCATATAAAAAAGTTTTACATAAATTGTACTATAATTAAGCATTTTTGTGTTTCCAAAGTGTTAAAATATTGTATTGTCACCGGGAATACGTGTGCATTAAAAATTTAAGCTCGTTTGGAGCAGTAGAAGTGGTCGAAAAATCGATTACAAAAGTACGAAATTTTGCGGACAATCAATCAATCAAACAGATAAGAAAGCAAGTTAAGAAAAACGTAGTAAAAAGATACAAAAACCATTGTTAATTTTACAATGGTTAATGTTAAAATTAAATTTTAATTAATGTTGAGTTCGGAATAAAAATAAATTAAATTTTTCTTTAAATCAACATTTTTTAATTCAGTTGTTTATTTTTTTGGCTCTGCACTTCAGTGCATTTTATCTATTAAATAAACACCTATATAAACACTGCCACGGACAAAACTGATTTACATGATACAGTTTTTGGAACTTTTAGAAAAATGTAATTTGGTTAAAAAATGGGTTGTCTACAAAATAATTCAGAAATTCATAACTCGTCCCAAAAACTGGTTATATCAGTATTTTATTTTTTTTTATATATTTATCAAAAATTACCGTTAATTGTAGCTTTTGCACAGTTCTTTTAAAAAAGAATATAATTTTAACATGATTTTAGAATTTTTCAGTGATTTTGAATGTGAAATTTTTTTCAAAATATTATAATTACTAAAAATTATGCATTTAAACTGATTTCCGAAGTTTTTGAAATATTTTTTATGACAATGGTAAGGAGTAGTGAAATATTACTTAAGAGCAGAAAAGAGTAGATTTTTTTTTTTCAAAAGAGCAACAGAGAGTAATAAAGAGTAATAAAGAGTAGAAAAGTGTGAAAAAGAGTAGCAAAGAGTAACAAAGAGTAGTAAGAGCAGCAAATAAAAGTAAAAAGCAGCAAAGAGGAGGCGAAATTACGACCTAGTAAAAATGAGTAGCGAGAGTTGCAAAAAGCAGCAAAGAGAATATGAAAAGGAGAAAATGCGTAGCAAAAAGTGTGTCAGAGTAAAGCGTCCCCACACCTGGGATGAAATTTTCAAGTACTCCACTTTGTATTGGAAAAAAAATTGTCGAAAAATGAAATTTTCGCAAAACTTCCTTCCCACAATGATTTAGATTCGAAAAAAATGTTCAAAAATTCCTTGTGCACAATATTTTTCCGACACATTAGAAAATTGAAAGGTTTTGTTAATTTCTCTTGATTTGAATCTTTCAGCATCTTCTAGATAATGTTTTCGTTCATTGCTCAAAAAATCAGTCCTTAATATAAAGGATAAACATGATTTTTTATCAAAACTTTGTAAAAGTTTATCAAAAAATATTGTGCATGATCAAATTTTGTATGAAAATTGATGTAAACTTTGATCGCAAATATCTCGAAAACGGCATCAAACGGCATGTCCCCAGTTGTATGGGAGATAGATTTAAGCTTAATTAATTGATTTGTATAGGTTTCAGAGAGGTCTTTGGAAGACTTTTAAACTTATGAATAGTTTAAGTTGTGCAAAAATACTCAGATTTCAATTCATTTTTAAGGCTTAATAAGCAGATTTCTATTGAGTTTGTTGTTTTAATATGTAAAGCTAAGCTTAAGTTAGCTAGCAACTGCTTTAATCCAAATAACAACTTAAAGTAGAAAAAATCATTTTTTTTTTCATACACAAATTGTAAACAAATTTTGGGTGAGATTAAATTAATGATTTCTGGAGTTAGACATCAAATTGGGACGAGATATTTTCATAGGATATGCCTCAAGTTAAGATCTTAAATCTGGCATTTAAAAGACAAAGTTTAATTAACATGAAATTTTTGAATTTTTGAACATTTTTTCCGATTCTGAATCATTGTGCTTCCGATGCAATTTATGACCAAAATTTTGATTGGAACTGATGAGAATCATGATTCAAGAACTTTTGACATTTAAAAATTTTTACTTGGATGCTTCAGTTCCTTTAAATTTGATTTTTCAATTTCATTTGTGGAGTACTTGGAAATTATTATTTTTATTTCATAAACAAAAGCACGTGATGAGTACGTTTAAAAATTCAAATTTATTTCTACCGTTAAAATATTTGAATCTAAAAAAAGTTAAATAACACGAGGACTTTTGTAATTTTTTTATCGGGACCTTGTTACAATTCTACCACCAATTCAAATATTGCTAAATACAATTAAAGCTACTAAGGGTAATTCCACAGATGGACGTACTGGGGGTCCTCGATTTGAGTAGTTGTTTTGTTCCAAAAAATTTCTACTCAAATCGAATCTATTCAAATCGAGGCAAAGAATCCATACAAAATCACATGTTTTGTTCCAGAGTCCAAAAAATGTATCAAAACAATGAAAATTATGATAATTTTTTGCACATTTTACCTCGTTTCTTAACTTTACCTATGTGTTTTAGATAACTTAATTTATTTCGACGCATATTCATATTGTTTTTAAACAGAAATTCACAAGAAATGTTTTTGAAACAAAACAAAAATATGAGAACCTTGCAAATGTTATTTAACCGAACAATTTGTAGGGTTTTTGAATTTGAACTTTTTAAAACCGTTAATTTTATATCAATTTTTTTTAAATTTTTACTTTAATTTTGTAACTTTAGTATTGATTTTTCGATCAACATGATAAGTTCACGCTTATTGCAGAATAATTTATGTTTTAAAAATATTTTCTGAAATGTTTTTATCAAAAATATTTGTTTTGTAAACAATTCAAATGGAAGAAATCTACTCAAATCGAATATTTTGGTGAGTAAAAAATTTTCTGTTCAAATCGAATCTACTCAAATAGAATCTACTCAAATCGAGGACCCCCAGTAATTTCGAAAAAATTGACATTTTAAAATCTCTAATGTTGTCTAAAAAAAAATTTTGTTTGAAGAATCGATCAATTAACCAACTATGTATACAGTTGCAGAAACAGTAGAACAATGTTTGCTTAGTAAATTACTGACACAATCATTATATATTTAATTTCAACTCCTAGTAATTTACCTAAGCAAAAACTGAAGTCGAAGCTCGGTATGTTATTGTGGATAAATACTTTAAACAGTTAAAAGAAATTTACATAATACAACGCAAGCAAATTATAGTGCTTAAAGCTCTTTTTCCATTTCACCGTTCTAGTTACGAAGCTCGGTTCGTGTGTTGGGTGTAGTATTGATGTCTTTGGCATAGAATATGCCTCCTTTGCTAGGTATACAAGAATATACTAGCGTCTGGATGACTTCCTTACGGCATCTTGCGCACACGGATTGTGACTAGGTACATTGCAGGGTACATCAGGTCTTATGACGTACTCGTGTCTTTGCAATGTACAGAGCTTGCAAGTGGTTCGGATGCCACTATTAACTGTAGGTCTAAAGGGTGTGGTACAATAGATTCTGTTCTAATTTGAATCGCAGTGCCTCCAGCTGAATTCCAAAAGAATTAGACAAAATGAAAGAAAACAACTTTTTATATAAGCTACTAAACAAACATGGGCGCTAAAGTTCACTAATTAGAAGAAATTTCGATTCAAACATGGAATTTTTGAAAAACTTTATCTGTGGAATTATCCCTTAAGCATTTTAAGAAGTCCAGGAATTGAGTTGAATTGAAATTGAATGAGCTACAGTCTACGCAACTATTCTAATTTATTTTTTTGAATTTTCAAAAAAAAAACTGCTGTTACGTTGGTTTTATATATTGTTAAGATTGAATGTCTATCTTTGACTTCTGGTTAATTTAACAATTTAAAATAATTTTTAATAAGCATTTTGTTAAAAAAAATTTACCTTCATTGGTTTAAAACGAGCGAAAATTTCAGATCAATTGAATAGTGCATTCGAATGCATTGCACCAAAAACTAGCAAGCCATACGTAAGGACGAAAAATGTATATTCATTATAGTTTTGAATTTTGAAAGAGAAACATGTTTTGAATAAGGATGTCTTCAGCTCAAATAATATATTCAAATTTATATAAATAATCTAGTCACATTAAATTGTCTCAAAAAAAAAACTACAAGCAAAAAAATGATAATTGGTGAGCAGCGCTTAAGTGAAAATAATTATTATGGTGAAACATCAAATCAATTGGATGGACTTAAAAGAAAAATAAATACTGAAAATGAGAGTAGAAATGTGAATAACAGTTACAGCGGTCGACCTGGGATTTTTAAAAATTTCAGTTCAAATAAAATGCATTTTGTGGAAAGTCTTACTGCAGAAACGTATAGCACATATCAAAACAGCGACCAGATACACCAAGATGGTGATCAAAGCTACATTAATTTGACAGTTTTAACACCTACATTAATACAATATGATAAAGTTACAATCGGTTGTCGACCAGAAGAAGAGTCTGAGCATTTTAACCAAATCAATATCACAAAGTTTCAAGAAAATAACGAAATAAGTTTGAAATCTAAACCAAAGGATGAAAAGTACGAAGTCAAAAATTATCAACAATCAGGTACAATACAATCAGCAATCCAAAACCTCATTAAATGATGTGCTAAACGATAAAAATTCATTTAGAATGCTTACATAGCTAATCAAATAAATGTTTACTTATCTATGAATTCATTTCACACATTATGCATTTGAGCCTATTGACCCTTCCTTTTTGAGCACTTTTTATTGTTCAATTTCATGCATGAATGCCCCCAGGCAGGCACTCGTATATTGCATATTTTAAATGTTTCACATGCCTTTTACATATAGATAATTTGGAGGATAATGAAGACAAAAATCTATCGTGGCTGTTCAATTTTAAGCTCGACGAAATTGCCAATTTATCACCGGAAATTAAAAGGAAACGATCCAGTCATCAACATCACCAAAACCACCAAGTAGAAAATCATAATCATAGTTATTATCAAAATAATAATAGCAACAATTCTACATTACAACAAAATCAAAATGATGAAAACAATATCCAGCGAACTTTGAAAGATCCATGTATCGAAGATGATTTGAATGTGGCTGAAAATATCATAATTTGTAATACACCGCCGACATTTACTTTACACACGTAAGAGTTAACTTCGTTTTTTTATAAATACATTTTAAAATTAATGATAGTTACCTAATAATGAAAAAAAATTTACTAAGGCCAAAAAAGCCACCGTTTACATATACTGAACTAATTGAGTATGCGTTGGAAGACAAAGGAGAATTAACAGTTTCCGGGATTTATCAGTGGATCTCGTAAGTATTACATATTATAAATTTATCATTAGTCGGCATATAATACTTTAAAATGCTATGGAGCTAACATGTTGATATTTGTTTATTTGTTAAGAGATAGGACTAAAATTTGCTGAAAATTTCGTTTACTATTTTTTTTTAAATAAATTCATTTAATATTCTCAATACTCAAAACATTAAAAAAGAAACAAAATTAAGGAAAAAATAAAATTAAATTAATAACTTATTGCGGAAAATCTTATTAAACATGATGAAAAATTATTCTTTAAAAAGTCCCTTAATTGGACCTGTTTGTACATACCAAAAAAAAAAAATTGCTTGCGACTTCATAAAATAATCAATAGCAAACACAATGATGATAATTTTTTTCGTACCACCTTTAAGCATGGTACGCAAAATGAATCAAGTCAATGAATGAAAAAAGTATTTTTACGAAGAAAAAGCGATATGGATAGAATTTGAATGGTATACTATTACGATTATGATTATGTTTTTTTTTTAAATTTAAAAAACAATTAGTATGAGATCAACATTTTAGAGGCTAGATTTACTGTGGTTAATTATTAAAAAACACTTTCTATCTTTTTTTGTCAAGGATGACTGCACAGGCACAGTTAAGTGATAAATGATCAATTGAAATTTAGAGACCGCACATTTCAATTGAAAAATAAATGAATATATTGATAAATTCTTGATTGATTTTTAAAACTACAGCAGGCAAACGACGTATGCTAGTCGATTAAATTTAAGGCATTTTTTTTTTATTTCCGGTGTGTCTTATTTTATAAACAAAAAGGAAGTTTTTTTTTTATATTTTTTTTCTTTTTGTCATTCATATTTTTAATGCTTGAATAAAACAAACTAGTAAAGAGTTGATCACAAGTCATTAAGCGCATTTTCGTCGCACATTTTTCAACTAAATGACTGTGTTTTAAGTCGATTTAAGTGGACACGGTCATAAAGGAAGACATTGTCTATATACCTGGAAAGTGTAAAATTTTTGCCTAAAAAACAGAATTTCACATTTTGAAACAGGGCGACCATCACAAAAATCTAAATATTTCGTTAATTAAAGCATGTAGAAGGAAGAAATATAGATATTTAAGTATAATTCAGTGATTTACATACTTATATCTAGTTATTGAATTGTCTAGACATCTCATTTTTGAAAAACGCAAGGCAAAATTTTAGAGAAAGTTAATTCAATTAACCTTCCTATGCTCCAATCATGCTGATTGTTTGGCCAACTTTCACCATAAGTCTTCGGGGATGTCTCATTTTAAAGCTGACATTGATACACAATGATTTCTTAAGTTTCAAGTCTTTTTGTCCATCTGGTGCTGAGTAGCAGGTCCTCAAAGTTAGGTATAGGCGAATTTTCTGTTTTTTGAGATTCTTTATTCAAACTCAATTTGCTCGATAACTACTCAACCAAATGAAAAATGGTTTTTGGTTTCTAAAAGCACATAATAGGACCTATATTTTGAAATATCACACTATTTGAAAAATTTCTATCAAATGAAGTAGTGGCAGATTTAGTATGAAAAAATAGGGGAAAATCCCTCTACAAAAGTTCGTGACTGCCGCAAACTACCTGAATTAAGATCTAGCCTATTAAATTTACCTTTATTAAATAGTCCAAACATCCATATTTTTAAATTGGTATCTCATTATACCCAGAAATTGCACTTTTTGGAGTTATAGTCAATCAAAGTTGGCCAAAAATGCAAAATTTTAAAAAAAATTATATCTCAATAACCAATGAAAAAATCAACTTTTGCTCTAAACAAGCTTAAACTTGAAGTTTTTGATTTAATACTTGATTGTTGGGCTATTTATGATTGATTTTTAAAAACTTTTTCAAAAAAATTGTATTTTGCGGACCCTATGATGGTTATCGACTTGATCCTTTCTTCCATCACTTAAGCTGCTTTAACTTTTTATAGAGCAAATATTTTTAAAATTGGTTAGCGATTTATTGTAGCTCAATGTAATGCCTTTCTAACGATGTGCAATACTTTACACTAAAGTCTAGTCTTTGCCACAAATATTGCCTTTGATTGTGATCGACGCTAATTTGAAAAACCTACAAACCGCATTTCTAGAAATAAGACTTAGAAATAAAATTAAGTATTGTTTTTGGGCTTTTTATGATCACTTATGATAATAATGGCTCTCAAAACTTAAAAATTGTGTTTTATAAACTTTTTCATGCCACAGGTAGCTACTTTGGCTAGTACCATGGAAGTCTCAATAAGTCGACAAAACTCAAGTTTAAAACTATTTTAAAATCTTTTATCGATTTATAATTATATTTTATGATATTTAAGACAAGAAAAACTTGAGTTTAGGCATTTTCCATCAACTCTTTTCATTTTACTCGTAATTTGGTTTGTAGGTTTTTCAAATTAGCGTCGGTCACAATCAAAGGCAATATTTGTGGCAAAGACTAGACTTTAGTGTAAAGTATTGCACATCGTTAGAAAGGCATTACATTGAGCTACAATAAATCGCTAACCAATTTTAAAAATATTTGCTCTATAAAAAGTTAAAGCAGCTTAAGTGATGGAAGAAAGGATCAAGTCGATAACCATCATAGGGTCCCCAAAATACAATTTTTTTGAAAAAGTTTTTAAAAATCAATCATAAATAGCCCAACAATCAAGTATTAAATCAAAAACTTCAAATTTAAGCTTGTTTAGAGCAAAAGTTGATTTTTTCATTGGTTTTTGAGATATACTTTTTTTAAAATTTTGCATTTTTGGCCAACTTTGATTGACTATAACTCCAAAAAGTGCAATTTCTGGGTATAATGAGATACCAATTTTAAAATATGGAGGTTTGGACTATTTAATAAAGGTAAATTTAATAGGCTAGATCTTAATTCAGGTAGTTTGCGGCAGTCACGAATTTTTGTAGAGGGATTTTCCCCTATTTTTTCATACTAAATCTGCCACTACTTCATTTGATAGAAATTTTTCAAATAGTGTGATATTTCAAAATATAGGTCCTATTATGTGCTTTTAGAAACCAAAAACCATTTTTCATTTGGTTGAGTAGTTATCGAGCAAATTGAGTTTGAATAAAGAATCTCAAAAAACAGAAAATTCGCCTATACCTAACTTTGAGGAACTGCTACTCAGCACCAGATGGACAAAAAGACTTGAAACTTAAGAAATCATTGTGTATCAATGTCAGCTTTAAAATGAGACGTCCCCAAAGACTTATGGTGAAACTTTTCCAAAAACACCTCATTTCCCCTTTTTTTGAAAATTAGACCAGTGTGAATAGTGTCCTTTCTTGAAAAGAAAATTCACTAAAAAGAAAATATGTAGATTAATGTATACATAACTGATAGAGAGTGAAATTTATTAACTTTTGTCAGGTGCTGGTGATTTAGCTGAATAGAAAATTTGTTGCTAGAAATATTTAATAATCGCACATAATGACAGCAGCGATTTCTACTTTTATAAATTTATTTAAAGGAGGAAAACTTGTGACACTTGAATACTGCATACAAATCTCTCTTATTTAAGTCTATTACCGAACATTCGAATATTTTTTTTTTCAACATTCAAATTCCCGTATTTTTACTATACAGAAATCCATTGATCCGTGTAAAAGGTGCAAGTTCATTCAAGATGTAAAATGTTCAGAATTTATTTATACTTCATTAACTTCGTATTTTTTTTTATATGATGGATTCAATATTATAGAAAAACATCGCGTGGTAAATGTTTTTGCATTTAAAATTAGACATTACACAAAACGAAAAAGACGAACATGCAATCGTGGGAATTTTTCTGCCAACGAGCACCATTCTTATATTTCTCTCTCTTTTTCTATTGGTCAGTGTAATTCACGAATCACATTCTTCGAAACAAATTTTGTACATGCTTGAAAACTGAACATTTTCATGTTGTTTAATTAAATTAATGATAGAATTTGATTAAAATAAATATAAAATGAAAAATAACCTATTTATTCTAGCTGTTTTAATATTTTTTTTTTATTTGATAATATAGGGATCGATTTCCATATTATAAATCAAATGACGACCGGTGGAAAAATTCAGTTCGGCATAATTTGTCAATAAATCCTCATTTTCGGAAGGGAAATAAAGCAAAAGCAGGTGCAGGACACTTGTGGAAAATATCTAGTCGTGAATCTGAAGCGAATTTTCTTGCTTGGGAGCATGTAAGTTTAAAAGCCTTGCATTTATTCATTAAATGATATAACTTTTTTTTAATTGTTCAGAAGAAGCAACGTCTTGATCTTTTTTTTAAAATGGAAGCAGCTAATCAGCTTAAAGTTCAAAATTCTTTACATCGTAAGGTAGACGATGAAACAAATTTAAATAAGCATTCTGAATATGTCTGTTCACAAAATTATGATGCAGAATTAAATGCGGCAACAGCTTCAATTATAAAACTTCCTTTAGAGACTTGTTCGCCAATTATTGCAAAATATGTTGATGTAAGAATTTATTATTGAATATCTGTAAAAATCTATTTTTTAATGCTTGGAAATTATTACTAATTCATAGACGGACTCACCTGTAAGTAGTCAATATTATCAATTTCAAGAAATTTTACCAACTTCACAACATCAGCAAACAGATGAGCTAAGAAAGACGGCAGGTGAAATATTAAATGGCGTTCGACGAAATGTAGAAGTTCAAATAATGCATCCAAGTGACCTTCAGTCATATTCAATTTTGAATACAGGTATCACTCAACAAATTTTGTTAATTAATTAACATTAATACAGTATTTCTTGCAGAAGATTATCTCAACCCAATTTCAAAGGAAGAAATAATGCAGGAAAGTGGACTTGGAAGGCGTCATGATGAATTCTATTTGATCGATCCGACAATTGTTAATGGATCAGAAGAACCTACAGAAGTGTTTGAAATCTTTCATGAAGACTTTAATCTGAATTATTTTGGAAATAATATGATTGCATGACGAAAAATTGAAGAAGTAAAGCAATTTTATATTAAAATTAATTAAATTAGTCAACAAAAGAATTGATAGATTATAAATTTTTAACACACGGAAATTTTAAAGCACATTTGATTATAAAAATTACTTAAATTTCCTATTTATAAATTTTGAACTTATTTACAATTTTTATCAAGAATAGAAAAAAAATTTAAAACACGTAATGTAGATAAAAGATTTTAGGAAAGTCAATTGTGTATTTTTTTTTAAAATTTTGTTGTGCAAAAGAGTGGTTTAAGACCTTTTTTTTAAAAAACTTTTCAAAATAAATGACTATTCTTACGAACAAAAATAAAAATAAAATAAAACAATTACATATTTTCTTTGAATATGAATTAAATGCAAAAGAAGCACCCAATTCCCTCCCTGACTCTAGAACGGAAGCCTTGTGAAGCCATTTGTAAAGTCGTGTAAAGCCACACTGGTCTTTTTTCAAAAAAACGGCGATCGAGCACTTTTTGGAAAAGTTTCACCATATTCCTTCGGCAATGTCTCATTTGAAAGCTGACATCAATTCAGGATGATTTCTCAAGTTTCAAGTTTCTTCGTCCATCTGATGCTGAGTAGCAGGTCCTTAACGTTGGATATAGGCGAATTTTCAGTTTTTTGAGATTCTTTATTCAAGCTCAATTCGCACGACAACTGCTCAACCAAATAAAAACGGTTTTTGGTTTCTAAAAGCACATAATAGGACCTATATTTTAGTATATCATACTATTTGAAAAATATCTACCAGATAGAGCAGTGGCAGATTTAGTATGATAAATAAGGGTCAAATCACTGTATAAAAGTTCGTGATAGCCGCTCGAGTATTAGTCAATCAAAGTTGGGTAAAAATGTAAATTCTTAAAAAATTTATTTCTCAAAAATCATCCAAAGAGTCAACTTTTGCTCTAAACAAGCTTTAGCTAAAAGTTTTTGGGTTTGATACTTGCATTTTAAGCTATTTACGAATTTTAAATTTAAAAAACTTTTTTAAAAAAATTTAAAGAAGTCCTCGTGTTATTGATCGAGGGACTTAAGCGCATTTTTGTGTAAGCGATCAGTATTCCCGAGCGGCACAATTTGACGATGACGATCAAATGATCGTCATATGAGCATCTTCGTCATGACGATGATGATTGTACGACGATTTTTTTTTCTAAAATATTATGACGATCATATGACGATCAAATGAAAGTCATGAATGACGATAATTTTTGATTTTCTGCCAATTTCGATTGTATGTTTTGCTTAAACTTTTTTCTTTGAACTGTTTTTGCACTGTATAAACTGATAATTATTTTCTGAATGGTATTTCGAAGATTGAACAAAATTTTTTGTTGAATTATTTTTTCGAGATTTTGGAAATGAGCTTTCATTCAATGTATGCTCACTGATTTCTAACGAATTTTGAATGCAAAAATAGATATGCTTATCATCAAAATGATCTTCAAAATGATTGCAAAACTTGACATTAAATATATTAGTAATCTAAGTTACCATTTTTTTGTGAAAATTTTGTTTTCTTCATTTGTGTTCGAGAAGTTGAAGTGAGAAGAAGGAAAATTATTTTCAATCCGTTATAAAAGTGAACCATCATCAACCTGGGATGTATTAGAAATCGTGGTGTTAAAGACAGAAATACGTAAGAAAATTAAAAATATCTAATGATAAATTATCATTTTTTTAATGTATGGTACAATTTTTTTTCAGCAAATTTTCCACTAGCTGTTGCGTCAATGAAAACTCGTCTTTATCATAATGACATATCATCAGAAGTCAAAAAATGAAAGAAAAAAGAATTCTAAAAAAGGAGTAAAAAAGGTAAGTGAGGACGATTTAAATTCATTATTCGACGCAAAAAGCGAAAAAGGCAACAAAAATCCAAAATTCTGAAAGAAACCTGTTCATCAAGAATTTTCATTATGTTGTTTGTTAAATGTTATGGCTTATGTTTATAATTTAAAATAAATATTATAAATATTGTACACAAATTAACAAGTTTTTCGATAAATTTTAAAAAAATTATTTAAGTCAAAATTCAGCATATATACCGATATTCAGTATATATATCACGGTTTATGCTCATCGTCTCGCCATAGCAATTTTGTCATTTGATCATCATATGACCATCAATTGACGTTTTCATTTGATCGTCAAATGACGAATTTTTCGTCAAATGACCATCACATGAGGTCATAAATCGAATCGAGACGATGTCGTGATGACGTCTTATCATCATATGACGATCATATGATCGTCATTCATGACGTCTTTATATGACAATCATACTATCAATAATTATAGTAAATGTCGACGAAATACTTCAAGCAATCGGCTCAAACGCCAAAAACACTGCATACAATAATAAATTGTAGACAACAAAGTATCAACCTCCTCTACTGGAATGCTAACGGCCTCACTGACAAAATGTTAGCATTACTCGACTATCTAAGCAAGCATAACGTCGATGTTGCTTGCATCTCAGAAACATTCCTAAAACCAAACTCAAAAATTGACTCGCATCCAGACTACGTAATTCATCGATTGGATCGCGTTGATAGACCAAAGGGTGGTGTTGCAATCATCGTCAAAAGAAAACTAAAACATCAACTTCAACCAAGCTACAACATAAAACTAATGGAATGCATTGGAATCAAAGTCTTCATCAATGACACGGATAGTTGTCACATCCTGTCAGTCTATCTCCCAGGAGGAAGCAAAGGAGGGTGTTGTCTGAATTATAGAGAGACTGGTGGACTGTATTTAAAAAAAATGTTGTTTTATTGCTGTATCTGAACGCCTAAAAGTTTATTTTTCAAACATTATTGTTTTTCTATGTACATAAATTAATTTTCTTAATTTTTACCTCTTTAAGGCCTTTTTAAACATAAATGTGATTTTCAGCAATTAATTTGTTTATATATGTCGATCCTATATCTGTTCAAACGTATAAAAACTGTAAATATCTTGCTTAAATTAATTATTTTCTTTTTACCTTTCTTAATTGTCATGAATGTTATCAGTAAACTAAATATTCAAATTTTTACCGTTAAAAAGAAAGGGGAAAAAGCTACGACAACAAAAAACAATTCAAATATTTTCCGTTGAATGTTTAAACGTTCAACAGAGGGGAAATAGATTAACATCTGAGAGATGACATCAACAAAATAATAAATCTGAGAGGAAATTACTACATCTGTGGAAACTTCAACGCAAAACATCGAGAATGGAACTGCAACGTTGCAAATAAATCAGGAAATATTCTTCAGGAAATGTCAGGAGAGTTCATGATCTACTTTCCTGACTCGCCAACGTACTACCCAGAAGATCGAAACAAATCAGTGTCAACAATTGACCTGATGCTCTCGAATTCCGACCTCGAAACAACAGAACTTCAATGCACAGAGGCAATGAGTGATCACTGCGCTGTGTATTTCCAAATCAAAACATCAAAAATCGACAGAACTGAAAATACAGTCTAGAGATATGACTACAAAAACGCAAACTGGAAAAAGTTCAAAGCACAAATTTCACGCCGCATTGAAGACAACATTGGAGAAAATTCTTGCAATACAACAGATGAGATCGAGAATCACATTAAGATTCTCTCTGAACTCATCATGGAAGCGAGGAACTCAAGTGTAAAAATGAAAAGGATCAACTTCGAATCAACTACACTCACACCGGAGATTAAAGATCTAATCAATACAAAAAGGAGTCTTCGTCGAAGATGGCAGAGAAGCAGAGATAATCAACTCAAATCTGAATTGAATTATCTGCAGAGAGTCATCATTGAGAAAATTAAAGAACTCAAAAACAAAAACTGGAATAAGCGTCTCTCAGAGATTCAACCGTCAAACCAAACAGTTTGGAGAATAGCAAAATTTTGCAAAAAAGGTTCAAAAACAATGCCTCCATTGACAAATTTGGGTAAAACGTTCATCACCAACAAAGAAAAAGCCAGCGCACTCAGTGAGTATTTCCGAGAAGCTCACGAAAATCCTCTGGAACAAAACGACCCACAACATACACAGGAAGTAAACAACACAGTCAAAGAAGCATTGGAACAAGACAATGATGAGAATCCAGAATTAACAGATGTAAACGAAATCGTGAGCATCATAAGAAATCATAAGAAAAGCAGCTCCAGGCTAATAAGTCTACTCAGCTCAATAAGCAAAATACTGGAGAGAGTTTTGCTGAACAGAATCAACGATCATCTTGAGGATAACAACATCATGCCAAGCCAGCAGTGCGCCTCCGGACTGGAAGATCAACATCTCACAAGCTCATCAAAGTGATCAAATCAGCAAAAGAAAACTTAAACAACAAAAAGTCAACAGGCATGATCTTCCTGGATGTAGAAAAAGTATTTGACAGAGTCTGGCATAACGGACTCTTGTACAAAATGCTCAAACTGAGATTTCCACTGCCACTTATAAAAACTGTAAGTTCTTTCCTCAGTGAAAGATCTTTCGCAGTTTTTATTAAAGGTCAGTTCTCAGAAATCAAGGTAATCAAATTCGGAGTGCCACAAAGAGCAGTGCTTTCACCAACTCTCTACAACATCTTCACGTATGATGTTGTAAGAGAGACAACCAACAACATCGGTATTTTCGCAGATGATACAGCACTGTAAGACACAGGAAGAAAAGTTCAACAATACATGAACAAATGGAAGATCAACCTCAACAAACAGAAGACTCAAGCCTTATTCATCACAAACAGGTACTCCAGGAAACTACCAGTAAAATAACATCAAATTTCTCAACGAAAACATCAAATGGGAAACAGAAGCTAAATATCTGGGAATGGTGATCGACAAGAGAGTGACATTAAAGCCGCATGTGGAGTATGTGACCAATAGGGCTCACACCGCATTAAGACAGCTTTATCCGCTCATCAGCAGGAACTCACAACTCGAAACAAACTTCTCATCTACAAGCTAGCCATCAGACCAATATTCACATATGGTTGTCCAGCATTTGGAAGCATGGCAAAAACCCACCTTCAAAAACTTCAAGTACTGCAAAACAAATTCTTGAGAATTGTTCTCAATAAAACAAGATATAAAAGGATCACCGATCTTCATACAGAAGCGAAAATACCGTCCATCGAAGACTACGTCGGAAAGTTGCAAGCGAACGTCAACAGTCGTCATGCATCTCAAAACACCGAATAAATCAAATAAAATACAAAAGAAAGTAAAATCCGTAAATGAAATCAAAAATTAAGAGACAAAAGGCAAATTGAATGCCTGAAACCTTAAAAACAAAAAGCAACAAAATGTATAAAACCTTTGTACATACTTAAATATAAATGTAAATAAATAAATAAAAAGTTTAATTTAAAAAAAAAAAAAATTTTTTTTGGTTTTGATCATAGTAGGTTAATTTCAAAAAATATCGATTTTTTATCTATATTAGCATTCTTTATCATTTATAATACCTAGATGTATTTAAAATGCAATTTAAAGCATTTTTGGTTTTGATCATAGGAGGCTATTTTTAAAAAAATTATATCGATTTTATATCTATATTAGCATTCTTTATCTTTTATAATACCTAGATGTGTTTAAAAATGCAATTTAAAGCATTTTTGGTTTTGATCATAGTAGGCTATTTTTAAAAAAATTATATCGATTTTATATCTATATTAGCATTCTTTGTCATTTATAATACCTAATTTTGTTTTAAAATGCAATTCAAAGCATTTTTGGGCATTGATCATAGTAGGCTATTTTTAAAAAAATTATATCGATTTTATATCTATATTAGCATTCTTTATCATTTATAATACCTAGATATGTTTTAAAATGCAATTCAAAGCATTTTTGGGTTTTGATCATAGTAGGCTTTTTTAAAAAAAATTATATCGATTTTATATCTAAATTAGCATTCTTTATCATTTATAATACCTAGATATGTTTTAAAATGCAATTCAAAGCATTTTTGGTTTCAATCATAGTAGGCTATTTTTAAACAAATTATATCGATTTATATCTATATTAGCATTCTTTATCATTTATAATACCTAGATGTGTTTAAAAATGCAATTTAAAGCATTTTTGGTTTTGATCATAGGAGGCTATTTTAAAAAAATTATATCGATGTTATATCTATATTAGCATTCTTTATCATTTATAATACCTAGATGTGTTTAAAAATGCAATTTAAAGCATTTTTGGTTTTGATCATAGTATGCTATTTTTAAAAAAATTATATCGTTTTATATCTATATTAGCATTCTTTATCATTTATAATACCTAGATGTGTTTAAAAATGCAATTTTAAGCATTTTTGGTTTTGATCATAGTAGGCTATTTTAAAAAAAATTATATCGATTTTATATCTATATTAGCATTCTTTATCATTTATAATACCTAGATATGTTTTAAAATGCAATTCAAAGCATTTTTGGGTTTTGATCATAGTAGGCTTTTTTTAAAAAAATTATATCGATTTTATATCTATATTAGCATTCCTTATCATTTATAATACCTAGATATGTTTTAAAATGCAATTCAAAGCATTTTTGGTTTTGATCATAGTTGTCTATTTTTACAAAAACTATATCGATTTTATATCTATATTAGCATTCTTTATCATTTATAATACCTAGATATGTTTTAAAATGCAATTCAAAGCATTTTTGGTTTCAATCATAGTAGGCTATTTTTAAAAAAATTATATCGATTTTATATCTATATTAGCATTCTTTGTCATTTATAATACCCAGATATGTTTTAAAATGCAATTCAAAGCATTTTTGGTTTCAATCATAATAGGCTATTTTTAAAAAAAATTATATCGATTTTATATCTAT